AAATGAGAGATTCTCATGTTTGAAATCGAGATAAAACCATATTTAATGTTCTATACACATTAATGGCACATTAACCTATCAATATCATGCAAGCTGGCCATGCAGAAACAGCTGGTAAATTACTGAGGATGCATATTGCTTGCAGCGTCGACGGATATAACGAATTAAAAGGACCTTCGAAATCCGTTTTAGCCGAAGCGGTTTATTCATGCCAACGGTTACAGGGATTGTCGCTACGTCATAGTCGACTGATGGTTATATCATACTTCGTGACACACGGAGTTGAATTTACATACATCGACAGTTATGAATATTTGTTTTCCGACTCTCGAAATACCGATCTGCCTACTGATATTAGCTTGATGGATGCGTCCACGTACTGGTATTATGCGAAAACAAGATTTTATTCAGTATTCAGCGCTCAAATACCCTTCATTGTCTCGTTGAAACACGTACTGACATTTGGTAAAGGTTGATCAATACACGGAATGAAATAATAGTGATATGATGGCTGTTACGAAAGGGCAAGTCACTTGACTGGAAGCATCTTTATAATGTCCATTAAAACTTTTGCCACTTTTTCCTCCTTATGGGATATAAAAAAAGAAGAAGGTACTTGTTGTTACCATGACAGACACTCGTCATTACTTGGATGAAACAAGGAATGGTCGGTTCGGAGTCAATATAATATCTGAGTGGGCTGGCACCATAACGCCGACACACACACACACACACACACACACACACACACACACACACACACAATGTGCATACACGTCTCAATGTAACTGAAATAATCTTCCACGCGACCTTAATCCTCATTTCACATCACCGCCTTATTAGTAATTTAGTAGGCCGATATATTTATATGTTTAAAGTGCATACAAGTTCATGCGGAAACTAGATTGCATTTCAGCAACAAAGGCCAAATGTATGACAATTAAAATTACGTTAGAGAATCAATATGTACAGACTTGATATATACAATTGACATAAAAAATATATATTAAATATATTGATACTTGTTAAGACACGTTTTGAATTGGACAATTACATAATGATTTTGCTCAATAGTAGTTTATTAAATTCAATATCACTATAATTTAACGCTAGCCACCCTTACACTTAGTCAATTGCGCCCAAACTGTCAACCTTGTGTCATGAAAAAATAGGCTGTTATACATAAGTATAATCATTATCTCCAGTCACGTTCATATTTAATTAGTAAAACGAAAATAGTGGTGTGAAGCAAATTAAATTTTACATTATCTTTCGGAATACTTTAATATTTTACTTGACATTTTCGAATCTACAATGGTTCCCACAGGCGGGACTGTTTGGATTGAAATCCCAACTCCAAGAAATGACTGAATCCCTAAAACGTTCAAACCATATTCATTATTTCCAAGAATTTTCCCCAGGAATATTTACATTTGGCAGTGGTTAAGCAAGAGAATGAATTACGTTCATAGTGACACTCAGTGCAGTTACATACGAGCCGACGCCACAAGTTCGTCGTATGAGGTGAGGTGAAATTGGGTTTAACGTCGCGTCCAAGATTATTGCACTTATATAGCGACGTGCATGCACGTGTATGTGTAAGTGTGGCTGCTTGTACTAGTCCGGACTGATGCCGATTTATAGTGCTAGCTCACTGAGATACCATGCCGCAGTTTAACATGAATACCCCAATCAGACACAGTATACTGACTCCGAGCCGACCAGTCCTTGTTTTAGCCCCTTAATGCCGAGCGCCAGACAGGGTAACAACAAGTACAATCTTTTTGTATGACGCGGCCCGGGATCGAACCCTGGACCTTCCGCTCTCCGGGCGGACGCTCTACCACAAGACTACCAAGTTGACTGCTGATGTTACATCGTTAACATGGCGCAAGGATGTTTACTTCTCATCAGGAGATTATTTAAGATTTAAATCTAGGCACATAACAATAGGTTTCGTCTCCTCATCTTTGCTTCTTATAATTATAAGACAATCTGTTCTTTAGCACAGCTGTGTGAGTATATCGATTATATGTAAAATATCCCCACACTACCACACGTAGCTACCGTTTATTGCGGGACTTGACGCATGAATCCAAGAAACGCCACATTCAGTAAGTTTTCAGCTGTATGACGCCGGATTGGAAATAATGGAGCCTGGATCAGACAATCTAGTGATCGATATCATGACAACCGCACTACGCCGTCGGGGTAAGCCACGCAATAAACCTGTGTCTTACCACCCGCCTCGATAAGCATAGGTTACTGGGGTCTATTGCAAACCGGGATCCTCCTTATGAAATTGCACGAAATAATCCATGTAAATATAAAACGGGTACATGGTGCTAAAGGGTATGGAAATCACAGAATGCAATTTACGTGGGTTTTTTTAATTTTTGCAAATATTATTTTAAAAAACCGCAATTTTATGAGTGAGTGAGTGAGTATGGTTTTACGCCGCCGCTTTTAGCCATATTCGGGCGCACGAGTGGCCCAGTCGTTTAAGGTGCCACAATTTGCTGTGCAGAGTTGCGCCCCTTGGGCACGCCAGAATTCTATGATTGTGGATTCGAATCCCGGTTCACCCCGATTATGTTTCTAGGTTTGTCAGCACCATACCCGTGCTCGTGGGTTTCACCGAAGTGGTAAACGTCTGAGGCCTGCATCACTTCGGGCTTTCCTCCCACATTAAGCTGATACGCCGCGATATAACTGGAATACTGTTAAAAGCGGCGTTAAACCCAACTCACTCACTCACTTTAGCAATATTCAAACAATATCACGGCGGGGGACACCAGACTCGTTTGGCCTTTGCGTTCATCTGCGCTGTCCAGCTTCATATATGGGGAACAACTCACGTGACACTTCCCTCCTAAAAATAACGTCGTCCAATTTACAACGTCATCAAGTTACGAGCGCATGTTCGAATCTCCAGAAATGACGTCACGACAGAACAATGATTTCTTGTGAAATAAACCACACTTCGTTCTTCACTGTTTTTTTGGCGATTTATCGGGTAGCTATGTTATATTTCGTGATGGCGTGAAAACAGGTTCACGGCATCTTTCTTCAGGGGTGACTAACTGGAACGGATGGTCAGACTAGGTGACAGGGCCTATTGCGTGTCATCGTACCCCTACAGCACGGGACATTGCTCAAGATCTCATAATTTCCTTACTGTGTTGTTGTTGTTGCTGTTGTTTGTTTGTTGCCTAGCGCCGCAATATTCGACCTATATAACGGCTGCTTTTCACTGTGATGTAAACTGCATGGTCGTCTACGAGTGCTGATAAAAAAAACCAGAACAATTGTGAAAGTGTTTTTAGTTTTAGTTTTCAACATAATCTCCCTGCTTTTCAATACACTTCTCATGTCGATAGTGAAGTTTTTCGATTCCAGTCAAGAAGAAGTTTTCTGAAGCCATTCTTGAAAACCCATTCACGGAAGCTTTGAGGTCATTGTTGTCGAGACGCTTTCCACGAAGGTGTTCTTTGAGTTTAGGAAACAGGTTGAAATTACTTGGTGCCAGGTTTGGCGGGTATGGAGGGTGAGGAAGCTCTTCGAACCCACATTGTCTCACAGCAGCCTTTGCAAGTCGAGCGGTGTGAAAAGAGGCAGTGTCATGAAGTGGTAGAACACCAGCAGTCACCATTCCTCGCCGCCTTTCTTTGATAGAATCTCTCACACCAAATACACTTACAATGAACCACTCGAACAATGTACTACATTGACTAGTTCACTTTGTTATGTTATAGTTGAAAGTTAGTAAGGCGTAGAACTTTTTGACAAACCCTCGTATACTATTGATTTCCTTCTTAAGCTATTGACATAGGCGCCTATAATCTGAAAATCTGAGGATAAATTATTAACTCATGATCAGTGTTTGGTTTCACTTTTCTTATCAGTATCTATGTTTATACTCGTGGCCAAACTTTAATCACATATTATGATTACAGATCATGCTTGACCGGGTTGACCCCAGAACCTTTGATGGCCGTTAGAGGCGACCACATGGATCGGGTGGTAAGGCTCGGTGACAGGGTAGATTGTTTGCCATCGTTCCCCGACGGCTCGGATCGTTGCTCACAATATCAATCACTGGATTGTGTGGTCCAGACTCATATAGCTGGAATATTGCTGAGTGGGGCGCTAAACAACAATCAAACAAACAAAACAGGTCGTAGTAGTAGCAGTAGTTGTAGTAGTAGTAGAGGCAATTGTTGAAGCAGCGGTAGAATTAGTAGCAGTAGCCCTGAACAACAATCAAACAAACAAAACAGTAGTAGTAGTAGTAGTTTTTGGTTTGTTGTTTTACGTCGCTCTCAACAATATTCGAGCTATATGACGGCGGTCTGTAAATAATCGAGTCTGGACCAGACAATCCAGTGATGCATCATGAGCATCAATCCACACAATTGGGATCGATGACATGCTCCAACCAAGTCAGCGAGCCTGACCACCCGATCCCGTTAGTCGCCTCTTACGACAAGCATAGTCGCCTTTTACGGCAAGCGCATGGGTTGCTGAAGACCTTTTCTACCCGGGATCTTCACGGGTCTAGTAGTAGTAGTGGTTGTAGTAGTAGTAGTAGTAGTAGTAGTAGTAGAAGAGGCAAATATAGTAGTAGTAGTAGTAGTAGTGGTAGTAGTAGTAGTAGTAGTAGTAGTAGAGGAGGCAACGGTAGAACTAGTAGCAGTAGTGAGTGACCCGTAGTAGTGACCAAGCAAATTATGCTGGTCGTAAGAGGCGACTAACGGGATCCCGTGGTCAGACTTTGTGACTTGGTTGATTGCATGTCATCGTATCCAAATTACGTTGAGCGATGCTCATGGTGTCCATCACTGGATTGTCTAGTCGAGACTCGATTATTTACGTCATATAGCTGCACTATTGCAGAGGGGGTGTTAAACAACAAGAAACAAACAACAAAACAAATGAACACTATTGTGAGTAGACTAGACTAGACTAGATTAGACTAATAAGTCCTGTTTACATTGTAGTGTTTTGACGACAACAACCAGCTGTATCAGACCGGCGTGCGGTGGCCGACCAGGACCCCCAGCACAGACCAGCCCAGCCATGGGGAAGTCTTCCTCCAGATCAGAGAGGCCAACAAAGAAGCAGACGACACCAGGGACTTCCTGTGTCGGGTCACAGACATCTTCTGCAATTCCTGTGAGTAGTGTTTCCTGTGAGCGATTTCCAACTATATGACTGCGGTCTGTCCATTAAGTCGATATGACAAACACAGGTCCTTCCAACCCAGAATCCCCACGGGGGCCTGTAACATAATCAACGAGCTTCGTTATATTTGTGAATTTAGAGAGCAGATTTGTTATATTTCTTGTCGCGGTGGGGATATATCATAAATATTACACAAAACAGGTAAGGGTTGTGAAACTTATCTTGCTGTTAAATTTCACGTAAGGGTTATTATCTTGTATTTGGGAGCACTTGTTGCCCAATTGTCTAAGGCACCGCAATTCGTTGTGCAGAGTTGCGTCCCTTGAGCACACCAGAACCTATGATTGTGGGTTCGAATCCCGGTTTGTGTTTCTAGGTCTGTCAGAACAATTCCCATGCTCGTAGGTTTCACCAAAGTGGTTAATGTCTGCATCACTTTGGGCTTTCCCACATCATTAATCTGACACGCCCGGACAAACTAGTAACTTGAATATGTTCAAAGCGGCGTTAAACTCACTCACTTGATCCAGGCGGTGGTACACCAGTATTTCACAAGCCAAACATTTAAGGACACGTGTGAATTAGCCTGTTGTTTAATGTCACGTATCCTCTTGCATATGCATGTGTACGAGCAATGAGAATGTAGGTCACGTTAAGCACGATATAGATAACATACCATGTTGAAATTGTGATTTATGTCAGAGGTATTTGTGTCATAATGTGGTGTTTATAACTGATGTCATGTCACATGCGATTTGTGATAAAGGGTCATAAAAATGGTTTGGTGAACACAGCAGAAATATCGATTTAATGATTATGACTAAGAATGATTTAGGGTGATTAGCCTGTACCTATTCGCTACCATAGTTAAAAAATGACGTCATCATTTTGATCACTCCATTAGAATGATTGGACAACTATTACTAGGATCATTGTCAATGTATCTTACACAAACAAAATCCATGATAGATTGGAAATATACATAAACTTGAAAATATAGAATAAGCGGATTCTGTCACACACGAAAAGAAGCTACTCTGAACGCACATTGCGGCGTCATTTCCATTACCAACCAAGCCCCTTGCATGGTTCATGGAACAAATGTCTACAATACACTACAAGGGCTGGTCATAAAGTTCAAAGCCTGACCAACTTTCATTTATTTGCCACAACAAAGTGAACTAGTCAATGTAGTACATTGTTTGAGTAGTTCATTGCTAGTGTATATGGTCTGTTGAGGCCTTTCGTATATTAGTGACAGCCAGTTGAACGTGATTGGGTCAAAATGGACGCAGAAATGGAAAACAATGAGTACCGAGCAGTCTTCAAGTTTTTTAACTTTAGAGAAAAGTCACTACCCAAGAAATTCATGACCGCATGCCACACGTGTATCGGGATAAGTGCCCTAGCTATTCAACTGTTAAACGTTGGGAAGCTATGTTTAAGGCTGGGAGAACAAGCCTTGATGATGACCCTAGGTCTCGACGTCACTCAACTTCCATCAATGAAGATTCAGTCAAGGAGATAGAAAAAATATTCTGTAAGATACCATGGCTGAACTTGAGGAAGACACAGGTGTAAGCCATGGATCCTTTGAAACTATTATTCATGAAAATTTACAGATGAATAAGATATCTGCTCGTTGGGTGCCAAAAGTTCTAAACTCTGATCTTAAGGGGGATAAACCGACATTGCCAGAAAATTTAAGAGCTAATTGAGGAGGATTTCGTCAAATTAAGAAAGAGAACGGGTGAGTCAAAACGTCAATCCACGGAATGGCACAATTCGGCTCCCCCATGACCAACGAAATTCAATTCAAGATCAGAGAAGAAAGTTATGGCCACTGTATTCCGGGACGCAAAGGGTGTGATTCTTGTTGATTACTATGCTGATTTACTTCATTCTATCAAAGAAAGCTGGAGTTCTACATTTCATGACAATGCCTCTTCTCACACCTCTCGACTTGCAAAGGCTGCTTTACGACAAAGTGGGTTCCAGGGAGCTTCCTCACCCTCCATACGCGCCAAACCTGGAACCAAGTGATTTCCATCTGTTTCCTAAACTAAAAAGAACACCTTCGTGGAAAGAGATATGACAACATCGATGACCTCAAAGCTGACATGAATGGGTTTTCAGGGTGACTTCGGAAAACTTCCGCTGACCGGAATTGAAAAGCTTCACTATGGATATGAGAAGTGTATTGAAAAGCAGGGAGATTATGTTAAAAGCAAAAACTAAAAACACCTTCACCATTGTTGTTTGTTATTGTTAGGCTTAGACTTTTTTTACCAGCCCTCGTATTTCTCATAAATGCAATATTCCTTCGAAATACTGTTGATGTCATATTTCTATATTTCAGTATTTTTTACCGTGATTATCGTGGCACTGATGATAATACCAACTGCTATGGTATCGGCTGGGGTAAAATACCTCAGCGACTGTCCCGTACAACCGAAGATTCCAGTTTATCTGATGGTAGGAGGGTGCTTTGGCATCCTCAAGCTTGTTGGAATGTGGTGGAGAAATGTTCAGATACGACGCTACGAAAGCATGGACGCATTCTATGACGCACACGATCATGACGCCGCTTTTGCGTCACACACGTTCAAACTTATGGACGCCATGTTGTCAGCATTCCTGCTGGGATGGCAAATAACTGGAACGTACTGGGTGTTCACCATCTATGAACCGAATTACACTCCTCTTCTCCATGAACCAAGCAACTGGTGTGAAAAGACAGTGTATATGATAGCGTTTATTCAGATTCTCGGATGCTACGGTCTTTTGTGCCTTGGAATTCTCTTGCTGCTTCTCATAGCAGCGTGTTATAAGTACACAGGAATATTTGATAAATGAAATCTTCTATTTTCTACTTTGCATAAAAGTTATTACATCATATTATACCATGTACTCATGCTTGCCAAAACTGTATATTTACCAATGTCATTGTATTACATTTTCTACCAAGTGTCCATGATGTTATATTAATATATGTATATGTATATGAAAACTATTTTTTGTTTCCGCTTGAAAATGATGCAGAATTTATACATAAATCGGGTTGGGTTTTGCTCATACAGATAACTTGTAAGTCACAAAAATAACATGTATATTGATGATATTCATCCCCGTCATAACTATCATCATAATTATAGATATTTTTATTTCGTTGAAGCGTTATGTTAATATGACCTTTGTTCATATCAATATTCATTTTTTCACAATTGGAGTCCTGCAGGTTCGGGATTTACGTGCTTATAATTATTTTGTAAACGTTGTCAATACCTTGAGGAATCAATAGATACGTACATAAGATACGCATGAACATGGGCAGATGTGTGGCGTATTGAATAAAACGCCACAGCTTCTATACATAGTTACGCAATATTTATAAATATGTTATAAACAGTTTTGGGAAAAAAATGTTTAACAATTGGCTGTAATTTTCCTTTTTCTTGTAAGTTCTGGACATCTGACACGATCAATCCCATAAGTATGAAATAAGATATGTAAGAAGGGACGATTTTCGAAATCCACGAAAATATTATCAATCCCGCATCCAAGAAGACATGTTCATAATATGTTAGTCTGTTTTGTCACTATCTCCTTGAAAAATCAGCTTTGATAAAAACTTGATCATTTTTAAATGGAAAGTTTCCTGCAAATATCTAAAATAGGCATATTTTGGATATATTTTAGTCGTACCCTTACATTTGGTGTTGTGATATTTGTTTATTTGTTGATTACAACCGCACTCAGCAATGTGCCAGCTAAATAAAGGCACTTTGTTTTTAATTGTATCTGGACAATACCAGGCAGTGATTGATGTTATGAACAACTTCCCTCGAGGTCGGGGTACGATGACACGCCAGATACCAAATTCAAGTCACCTGATCCACTAAGAAGCTCTTTGGCCATCAGCATGTACGTATGTTTCTGGGGACGTTTTCTAACCAAGAAGCACCTTGAGATGGTGTTGTTATGATTGGTTGGTTGGTTTGTTGTTTAAAGACGCACTCAGCAATATTCCAGCTATATGACGGCGGTCTGTAAATAATCGAGTCTGGACCAGACAATCCAGTGATTGGTATGATGAGCATCGATCCACGCAATTGGAGCAGAGCATTGACGTGTTGAATTGAAGACAGTTTAATTACAATTCATAGTAAAGATTTTGATAAACTTCCAGCATATTACTAGTAACGTAATACACAAGCTTTGCTCATTTTTAAAAATGCGAGTCAGTGGTCCAAAATGGCTCCTTGTCAAACCCCTACTTGGCATATTCAGTATGGAGTGAACGACGAATCTGTTTACAATCCAGTCAGATTTGAGTGACAATGTAGACACAATTTTATGGATAAAAACTTCTTTAATACTGTGAAAAGCGACGTTTCGTTATAGATCCTTATACCGTTGTCATTAAAGAAGTTATGCATAGAATTGTGTCTACCTTGTCATCCGTCAATGCCTATCAAACAATTTACAGATTTGAGTGACATTGTTATTATCGAATTGTTAATTATGTTTTGTACGCAACATGTTTGTTTTGTATAACATGTGGCATGATTAATTTGCATTATGATCTGCAATAGCATTTTTATATTCTTATGTTTCTAGTCGTCATTTGCATAACACTTTGTCTTGGCAAAGATAATAATTATTCACAATGAGTTCATGTAATAATAAATCAAGGGAATGTTACAGAATTATAATAAATGGGACATATACACGCATTTATTGCATTTGTGGTTGATACATACAACGATGCATTGCATACGAGATAGCTTTCTTTCAGCATATTGGCGAGACGCTAATATAACATGGCTAGTTCTTAGTTCAGGAGAATGCCAGATAATTTACACAGATCCGTATTGTCATTGTTGTTGTTGTTAGTAGTAGTAGTAGCAGCAGCAGTGATGGTAGTAGTAGTAGTAGTAGTGGTGGTGGTAGTAGGGGTAGTAGAGGTCGTCGTCGTAGTAGTAGTAGCAGTAGCAGTAGTGGTACTAGTAGCAGTAGTAGTGGTAGTAGTGGTAGCAGCAGCAGCACCAGCAGTAGTAACAGCAGTAGCAGTTATATATTTATTTTTTAACTGTAGCAGAGGTAGTAGTAGCAGCAGCATCACCCTCATATAAAAACGACACGGAACATATGGTACAAGTAAAACTAGAGAATTGCACCTGACATCATTTTGGTCACTGATGCATCAAATTTGGAAATATCCACATGTCTACCATAAAGCGTTTTTTTGAGGCCTTGAATGTTGTAACCTTGATCAAACAACTTTTGAGCAAGAGTCGGATGACGTTCTTTGAAATCTTCGTAGAAAGAACATGTCCGATTGTACCCCAAAAGTTTTCACAGGTAGACGTCATTTGAAGGCTGTAACTGCTCGAATATTCGCGACATATATATATAAAGGGAAAGTTGACTACTTGGAAGCTGAAGTCATCCCCTTGTCATACAGTCTTGTGGAGAGTTTTTGGTCACACTGAATCTTTATGAAATATGAAACAGACAAGGCGGTGTCACTGGTATCTTTTACTTCGATCTCAGATGGGTGAATCAGTGGAAGGGAGTTGGCTATTTGATTTTATTGAAGGCATATATATATATATATATATATATATATATATATATATATATATATATTCTAGCTATGACGGCGGTATGTTAATAACTGAGTCTGGATCAGACAATCTAGTGATTGAAATCATGAGCATCGATCTACGCATATGGGACACGATGACAAGCTTCAACCGTGTCAGCGAGTCTGACCACCCGATCCCATTAGTCGCCTCTTGCGACAAGCACAGACGCCTTTTACGGCAAACATGAGTTGCTGAAGACCCATTCTACTCCGGATCCTCACGGGTCTTAACTGATGCGGAATGATATGTGAAATACAAAAAAATATATATATATACTGAGGGATACATAAAAAACAAAAGCAGAAGGATAATTGAAAGAAAAGCATGAGCATAAGTACACGTGAAACAAAAGCATAAGCTTGGGGACATAAAGGCATAGCAGAGGCATACGCGAAAAACAAAAATAAAGCATATGCAGAAGGATACGTGAAACAAAAGAATATTAGGCTGGGGCACATATAAGCATAGCAGAGGCATACGGGAAAAACAAACATAAAGCATATGCAGAAGGATACGTGAAACAAAAGAATATTAGGCTGGGGCACATATAAGCATAGCAGAGGCATACGCGAAAAACAAACATAAAGCATATGCAGAAGGATACGTGAAACAAAAGCATAAGCTGGGGGACATATAGGCATAGCAGAGGCATACGTGAAAATCAAATTTAAAGCATATGCAGAAAGATACGTGAAACAAAAGCATAAGCTGGGGGACATATAGGCATATTAAGCATGTTAAGCAGAAGCATACGCGAAAATCAAATTTAAAGCATATGCAGAAAGATACGTGAAACAAATGCATAGGCTGGGGCACATATAAGCATAGCAGAGGCATACGCGAAAAACAAACATAAAGCATATGGAGAAGGATACCTGAAACAAAAGCATAGGCTGGGGCACATATAGGCATATTAAGCAGAGGCATACTTGAAAAACAAATTTAAGGCATAAGCAGAAGGATACGTGAATCAAAAGCATATTAAGCAGAGGCATACGTAAAACACAAAACTATGAACATGTTGCTTTTGGCGGAAGTGGAATCTTAATGTTATACTTCAAGCTACAGCGACTCAGGACGTTATCTCAAATGTCAGCAGGGACACAAAGGTTGCGTTCAACTCAGTGAGCTAAAGGTCATCACGAAATGTATCGATATGAGTTTCTGAAACTACGTAATCACTCTAGATAATGAGTTCCTTACATAAGACATCAAAGGCTAGCTCAGGTGTTTTAGAAATACCCTTTATCTCATCTGGAGATTTGTTAAACGAGTTAAGGACAACCTACATGACGGTCCTTAAACAGAACATTGATTATTTTCTGAATACAATGTTTTCTATTAACCTTCAAGTATGTGGTTGACAAACATGCCCACTACATTGGAAAGCTTCCTTTGACAGCTCTCAGCAACAAAAGGTAAATTTGATTGAATTTTCGAAAAGGAAATTTTGAGAGAGTGAGATTGAGGGTACCGGTAATTTAGTATCCATTTAATGCGTCATCGTGGGGAAGGCCAGGGTTGTTTGATTGAATTGAGAAACTATTGATTCTTATAAGTACATTGAATACATTGTCAGAAACGACCATAATAGAATTAAACAGTCGATGTTTTTAAACGTCAGCAGTTACTGTACGATATAAGAATAATATTGTATTCAGGACCATTTGAATGTTTCTTTTCTGGAAAGTAGCATATACTATTGGGCAAAGAAAACCTATCATCTTGTTCAGTAGCTCCATAAAAAGAAACAAAGACAGGTGTTATCTATATGATAATTATTTTAATGAAAGAAACCATTTTGTGTTGTCTTTACACAATTGCAATGCCATATCGATAGTGCACTTGCCATAAAGCCGAGCGAAAGAGACATAGGGTCAAAATAACAAAATGCACGAGTCCACTCAAAAGGTGCTCATAGGGTCAAATCATGTGACAAGACATGCCCTTAGTAACGTGTGGGACCACCCCCTGCATCAATGCACGCCAAAATAAGTCTCCTCATGGATGTAGTCAGTCGCCGGTGACGACAGCAGGAATTCTGCGCCACTCATCAAATAAAACCCGTTCAAGCTCAGTCTGTTTGTTAGGGGAGGTACGCGTTGTCTCAGCTGTCGATCAAGGTGATCCCATAGATGCTCTATGGGATTCAGGTCTGGAGAACATGCAGGCCAAGGCAACACGTGGACGTTAACGTTGTGCAGATATTGCGGAACAAGTGTGGCGGTATGAGGTCATGCATTGTACTCCTGAAAAGGGGTGTCCACGTAAGAATGGCACAACACTCGCAACACTTCATCTCTGTATCTTTGGCCAGTCAGATTCCCACGGATGGTGACAAGCCTTGTTGTCCGCTGACCGCAAATACCGCTCCATACCATGACGTCGCCTCTGCCATAAGGGTGCACATCTTGGATGCAGTTAGGTGCCAGTCGCTCTCCCCTACGTCAATAAACACGGACTCGGCCATCATTTCGGAACACGACTTACATATGTGAACAGCACGCATTCCCAAACACGCCGCTGCTACCGACGTACAGTTCTTGCCCATTGTAATCTGCGTTGAAGGTGTAGAGGGGTCAAGGCCATTTCCACGGAAGGGGTGGTGCGCTCTGATATCATCAATGCGGATTCATCGTAAAACTGTTCATCTGCTGATGTGGTGTTCCAGTGCCGTCGCCTTCACGTATCGGTTCCTCGGATGTATTGTCCGGATGCAGCGGTCTTCAACTGTCGTCGTGACCCTTGGTCTTCCCGATCTTGGACGGTCTTGTGTTCAAATTAAAGTTATTTTCAAATCATTGACAGGTGCATATTAATAACTAATCAAACATTACATTTTAACGACCTTCAAGAAATAATCATTTCGTGTGGTGTTGACGTTAACACAATGATAAAGCATGTTATTCAATTCGTTCACATACATGTACATGTACGATACTGATCATGGTGTGTTTGTGACATTGTGTGAAGGCAATGCCACGTATTTGATATCGCTTTCAAATATCGCTTTGTACTATATTCTATAAATATTAAGAACATTTCTTACTGCCACTGTAATGTTTGGTAGAAACGGCTCTGCCCGGCAAAAATTCGGGATCGATTCCACAGACGGCTGGGACTATTGCTAATGTTTATATTTTCTCACCTTTTTAATTTTTCTTTTCACAATGTAATATTTTATGTCGTATTCATCATTCAAATTGTAAAACATAATGAGAATGGAAACCAAACCGAAAGTCAAATGCCGTTTTATTCAGCATAAAGATAGCAGGTGTACATAACTGGTGATAGAAATGATGGTGGGGTAGCCTAGTGGTTAAATTGTGTTTGTGGTGGTACGATCCTCCCGGGTTTGATTCCCCACATGGATACAATGTACCAATTTCTGGTCCCCGCCGTGATATTGCCGGAATATTGCTTAAAGCGGCTTAACACCATACTCACTCACTCACTCACACACATGTTCGTACACACAATTCTGTCAAATGGAAAAAATAAAAGCTTTCGCATAAAAAGCTAATGATTGACAGAATAACATAAAAATCAGTCTTTCAACGGCCAACGTTTAAGAAACATTTATCTCTCAAGTTTATGTTTATGACAGCATTTTCGAAGCTTGGCAAGTCTCTAGGCTAAAAGGGCAGTAGTTGCCCTGGGCCATCGCTAGCTAAATACAGTTTTCAAGCAGGTGGCTGGGCATGCCACGAGAAAGATGCAGATGCCCAAGAGGCCGTTGACAACCCTGCAATGTAGATCAACACTTTATACACCCACCTCACGAACTGCGATGGGAAGAATATAGCTCTTCGTTAAATTAAACAGATTAGGGAAAATATTACAACGGCTGATATACAATTTATCGTTCTCGATTTCGTTTCGCATTTCCCTGGAGAGTGAACATTCCAGTATCATAGAAACATTGGCAATGAAGAAAGTATCTGCTCGATGGGTTCAACATCTGACATCTGATCAAATACGCACCAAACACTACATGACAATCTCTGTTTGAACCGACCTGTGAAGATCCGGGGTAGAATAGGTCTTCAGCAACCCATGCTTTCCATAAAAGGCGACTATGCTTGT